TAATACTAACTGGTGTTATTATAAAATTGTATTCCATATCCATTACTTTTAGTAATTGTTATCAATAAATCATCTTCAGTATTATCATTCCCAAATACAATATAAATATCACTTTCTCTTTTACTTACAATTGGAATATATTCTTTCATTCCATTTCTTCTTATAATGAATAAAGCAGATTTATTACAAACAAAGGTTTGGTTTCTAAGTATTTTAACAGAATGAAAGAATATACCAAAAACATTTCCATACTCAGTAACACAAAATACACCAAAATCTTTCTGTCCAAAAAGTTGTTTGTATGTATTTATTGATGAATTTAGTAATTCACAATATTCGATATCAGGAGATATTATACAATAATCACGAAGAGTACCCAAGAATAATTTACGTACTTTACCACGTAGTATATCAATAAATCTTTCATTTGGACTTGTAACAACAATAACATCTTTTCTTTTTTCAGTTCCATCTGTCATTCCATTAATCCTTCCATTATATTCAATAACTAATCCATTTAACAAATTAACAAGGTTTAAATATTCTTCTTTTATTTGTAAGACTTCACTCTGAGAAATATCTTCTGGTGGATAGCAAAGTACTTGAAGTTTTTTATCGATATCATTTTGAATCTCACTTATTTTAGCTTGAATTTCATCTACACTTTTAGTACTTTTTTCAATATAAGTATCAGGTATATCTATTAGTTTTTCATCAGTTTGTTCTGGTTCTTGTTTTGGGTTAATGAAGAAACTATCACTAAATTCTGAGGATGTTACCATTGTTAATGGTTTACAAGTGAACTATGAAGATCTTTTATAATGAAGAATGATGTTACCCCAGTTTAGAAATGATGCTTTTTAAATATTTGATTAATTTTTATTGGTGGAAATTGTTACCTTATTTAATTTTATTGAAAAAAAAAATAAAATAAATGATGGAAAATATAAATTACTTCTGATTACGTTTTCCTCATGTTGGAAGTGAGCAAACCAATTTCTTCAACATATTTTATTTCTTTTGAATCATTTTTTTTTCAAACATTCTCAAATTTAATAATTCATCATTTAATTTGTTATTTGAATTTTATTTTGAATTAAATGATTATTAAAACTCTTCATTGTTTATAATGTTATTTTATGACAAATACATCATTAACAATACACTATGGTTCATCTCTTTTATCATTAATACTATTTAAATAATCCATTTTTCTTAATAACATACCATGTATTCAGCACTAATTCAGCATTAATAAAGGTCCTATGTGGTGATGTTTTTGACATGCATCTTCAAATCATAATAAAAGATATAAAGAAAAAGAAATAGAAATAAAAAAGAAATAAAGAATAAAAAGAGAATTATAAAACAAATATAAAGAATGATATATCAAACAATAAGATAGAAGAGAATAATATCAAAAAGAATAAATAAGAAAAGAATAATAATATAAATGATAATCAATTATAATTTGTTTCTTCTTCAAATTATATTGTATTTGATTAACTGTCATTTGTCAAAACAATTTCTTGGTATTGTTTCATTCCTCTTTAATTCTTCTTCACATCCACATTCATAAAAACAAGATTTTCAAAATGATGTAATTGATGATGGTATATTCATTGATGTTAATGATGAACATTTATAAAAACAATAAGCTCCTATTTTACTAATTGATGATGGTATGTTAATTGATTTTAATGATGAACATTCTGAAAAACAACCATCTCCTATTTTACTAATTGATGATGGTATATTCATTGATGTTAATGATGAACAGTTTTTAAAACACCTATCTCCTATTTCTTTAATTGATGATGGTATATTAATTGATTTTAATGATGTACATCCTTCAAAACAATTCCATCCTAATTTAGTAATTGTTGTCGGAATAATAAATTCATTAATATCTTTCTTTTCAATATTCTTTCCATTGATTATTTCTAGATCATATGGTATTTTAATACTAACTAACACTGGTTCATTCACAAACATTCTTTCTTCACTAATAAATTTTATATTACCTATATTAATTGGTGTTAATGATGACCATTCATAAAAACGACCACATCCTATTTTACTAATTGATGATGGTATAGTAATTGATGTTAATGATAAACATCCATTAAAACAATAACCTCCTATTTCACTAACGCTAGTTGGTATATTAATTGATTTTAATGAATGACATCCATAAAAACAATTATCTCCTATTTCACTAATTGATGTTGGTATATCAATTGCTTTTAATGATGGGCAGTTTTTAAAACAATAACTTCCTAATTTACTAATTGTTGTTGGTATATTAATTGATGTTAATGATGTACATCCTTCAAAACAATTACATCCTATTTTACTAATTGTTGTTGGTATATTAATTGATGTTAATCTATCACAACCTTTAAAGCATTGATATCCAAGTGATTTAACTTCTGGTGGTATTGTATTGCTATAGTTATATATTTCATAAGCAATTGCATATTCTATATTTTTATATATATCCCATTCTTCTTTTTCTTTTAAGTATTTTGAATAATCTACTAAATACCAGACCACTTTTTTAAATATTTTTCCATCTTTAAATATTTTATCATTATAATTATAAATATGAAATGTTTCAATATTAGGAAATAATTTTCTTGAATATTCATCTAATGGAATTGGATTAAAATGAAATCGTTCCATATTTCCTCTAAATCTTTTAATTCCTATTTCTAAATTAATAAAATCATTAATATCATTAAAGTACTTTGATACTATCATTATTTCATTATATCCTAATTTCATTATTGATTGTTTATTTATTAGTTGTTTTATTAGTTCTTTTATTTTTATATTTTAATTTCTTCTTTTTTATTCTTTATCATCATTCTATTTTTATTAATTGGTGTTTATTATGAAAAACATTAATTAATAACAAATAAAATATGAATAAAATGAATGATATAATGAATGATAAATAATTATGAATTCATTTATTTTATTATCTTTTATTTTTATTCATTCTTAATTTATTCTTTTCTTTCTTTATTTTTATTATTATTTTATATTTAAAATGATTATTCAATTATGAAATAATATAAATAAATAATATAATGAATAAAACATAAATAAAAGAATGTATTAATTGATAAATTAAATTAAATAATAAAATATTTATATAATATTTCAATAATTAATAAAATATGATAAATTAAATGATAAGTGATAAATATAATATTCAAAACATAAATTAACAATGAATAAAATAATATATCAAATAATGAAGAATGATAAATAAATGAAATAATAAAATATAAAATTATTTAATTCATATTTACATTCATTTATATTAATTTAAATCATTTCAACAAATTATAAACAAATAATTATACAACAATAATAATATAAAATATAAATATAAATAGAATATATTAATAAATAATATAAAATAAAAATAGTTAATTAAGTATTAATAGAACTTGTGTCTATTGTTCCTACCTCACCGGAGACTAATCCCATCCCTTCGTCTTCGTCTTGTAGTTCAACTACATATGTCTGGTTGTGATCTCCACAGTGCTCCATGACATCCATCATGTTCCTAATTACAAGGTTTTTAATTTCTTTAGTGATGTCAATTTCGATTTTTAATTCTTTAATTAATTTAATGCTTTCCGCATTTACTAGCCCATTAATCGAATTTACTACTCCAATTATTTTGACATCTTTTAATTTCTCTATTTTAATTAGCCTATTTTTCAATTCCTTATTCATATTTCTTTTCTTCCAATAGGCTCCATTAATATTATGATCTGCCACAATAGTCATATCAATTATTAGACCAGTTTTATTCTTTTTATCTAGTACATATATATCTGGTCTTTTATGATATAGTCCATCACTTTTTTGGCATTATTTGTTTGTTCAATATCATATTGATGTCATTGTATTGGAACATTGTTTCATATGGGGGTTTCTTGTATTGTTTATTTCCTGTGTATTTTCTTATTATTTAATATGATGATGCCAATATGGTCATGTTTCTCCATCTGTGATTTCTTATGACAAATACAAGATAGTAGAATGTGTTCTACTGTGGCTATCTTGTCTTTACAAAGTGGGCAGTACTTCAATCTTTCATTTTTTAATATTTTATCTTTCCTGTACCCACTAAATATTACTCCATCTTGCATTTTAGTTAATTGGAGAAATGCATTTTTCTTTATATTGATGGACTTCCATGCATTGATTGTAGTAGTTTTATCTACCCCTTTTGACTCGAACCATCTTCTAAAATGTCCACTTGTTTGATGGGACTTCCATTTTTTGATGTATTGGTCGGTCATTAATTTCTTTATTTTTACTACTACCTCTTTTTCTTTTCAATCCCTTCATTTATTATTTCTTCTATTTTCGTTTCTGGGATTTTATGACCTAGGGCTTTTTTAATTCTATTCCATATTCCTTTCTTGGAATACCATCTATCTATTATGTTATTTCTTATTTCACTCTTGTACAATAGTACATTATTGTTCTAATTATTTCATTAACATATTCGTCATTTAGGCTTATTAATCATTCACAAATTTCATTTATATTGACATATAGACGGTCTTTGGAGTTACAACAATGTATTTTGCCTTTCTTAAATATTTTCTTATCTCCAAATCCATTCTATCTAGGTCAGTTACCTTCCAATTTACTACTGATACTGAATATCTGAAGATGGGTATTACTTCAATATTAATTCTTGTAATATATCTTCTATTACTACTTTCATCACTATTTATTTCTTCAATTTTCTTCATCATCTTTTCTTTGATGATTTTACAATTGAATGTGTCATTAATTTCATCGGACTGCCATACACCTAAATATTTATACAAATCCTCTCCTTCAATTATTGGGATGTTTTGCATTCAATCTGGTATTTTATTAATGTTCTTTAATACCATTCCTGATTTATTTTCATTTCCATCCATATTCAACTTATTATTTGTTTAATTTCATTGTGGATTGTTCCCATTTCTTCACTACTTTGTGTCATTATTCTCAATTCATCCATATACAATGTATGGTTTGCTTTTGAGAACTTCTCTTCTATGATTTGAGAAATTACATTCATTTGGATGATGAAGAGTAGAGGGGATAAGGAATCACCTTGTAAAATTCCTCTCTTCAGTTTAATACATCCTAGATATTCGTTGTATTTATATCATATGAATATCTTCAATCTGTTCATCATACTTTCTACAATGTCTATGATGACACCCTCTACATTAAAATATTTAAGTGTTTCTATTACCCATTCATGATTTACTGTTTCATATGCTTTCTTAATGTCATAATATGACTCTACATATTTTGGGTATTTCTCTTCTTTTTGTTGCTTTAACATATAACTGTTAATTAATCCTTCTTTATCATCAAGAGATTGCAGTTTACATCATAATTGATTTTTACTAATTTTTAATGATTCATTATTCATGTTAATTCTATTATGAATCTTCTCTTTCAATATTGAGGTAAATACTTTCATAATTACATTTGTACAACTGATATGACGATAATTAGTGACATCGTTCCTATCACCTCCTTTGTGGATTAGTATAGTTCTTCCACTTACCATGTCTAGAGGGATGTTTTCATTGAAGTTTAACCATTCATTGAATATATTAAGAATGGAATCTCTTGATGATGACATTCTCTTCCAATAATACCCATATATAGTGTCAATACCTGGTGCTTTCCAATTACTTATTTTCATCAGGCTTAAATTTAGTTCATCCATTGTGATGATGACACTATCATAATTCCTGTATCTTTCATTCCACGAGGTGATTTGTTTTATTTTCAAATGTTCTTTATTTAATATCACCTGTGTTTCATATAATGATTTCCAATATTCTAAAATAATATCGTTAATTGGGTATATTTCATTTTGTGGGTCTTTCTTCTTTATTTTGATTTTGTTATTAGAATCAAACATGATTTTATTTGTATTGATTCTGACAATTTCATTCTTATTAAATTTAATTCTTTCTTTAATCATCGTCATCATATATTTTAGGTACTTTATTCTTTCTTGTGCTTTCATTTTAATTTCATCTGCATCTTGTTCCTTCAATCTCATGATGTATTTTATTCTGTACTATTCCATTGATTAGATCTTCTAATCTATTTATTTTCTTTATGATTTCTTTTATTTCATCAAATTTATCTCATTTAAATTTATTTTAGAGATAATAATACATACAAATTGAAATTATTTTCATATCTTCTTGAAGATTTTCTATTCTGCTGACCATACCCATTTATTATTAATTTCTCTTATTAATTTATCTGATTCTTTCATTTTCCAGTAGTAATTAATATTTACACATTTATCTATCTTCATTTCTTTAACTTGGTTGATGATAGAGTTAAGATATTCATCATCAATATCAGTAGAGTTATTTTTTATGACAATATTTTTTATTATTGAATTACATTCTACTTTCCCTTCTATGATGGAGTTCACTTTCATTTTAATATATCTTTTAGTTGTTTCTTTTATTTTATGTGACTTTTTAATATTATTAATGTATTCTTTATCATTATTTACATTAATGTTTATTACTTTTATTATGCTTTCTATTTGTTCCCATCTTAATTTCTTATTTAATTTCTTATTTAACAAATTAATTCAAAACAATACAACACATCAATTAAAATTCTATTTGTTTGATTTATTGTGTTTTCTTCTCTTCTTGACTGATTATCATTTCTTGTTTTTTGATACTCAGTGTTTTGCTCTCTTCTATTTCCAGAATTGTCTTTTTCATAGGGGTAGTTTGGTTCATTTGTATTGTCCCAGATGATGATGTTCTCAGTATTTGTTGGTATTTATCACTAGAGTCATTGTTTTCTTCTTCTCCAGTTCCTTCTGGGATAAAAAATTTTCGATACTTTCTTGTTGTTTTGATATTAATTGATTTTGTTCTTCATTTTCTCTTTGTGTATGGTCTAATTCTTTTCTTGTTATTTCTGCAATCTCATAGTTTTGAATCGCACTTTTTTGATATACAGAGATTTGATTTTCTTTATCTCTTATGTTCTTCTCTAGCAGCTCAGCACTCTTAAGGAATTCGTCCTTCTCTTTCTTCAGCCTCTCATAGCTAGCTCGGAGTGTTCGGATGATTTCATCCTTACCTCCTACTTCTATGACCCTTCTACCATTTGCTTCATTTATTTTTCCTTGTAATGTCTTGTTTTCCTCTTTTAATTTAGAGTTTTCTTATTTCATTACATGTATTTTGAATATTGTTTATTTGTGTTTGAATCTTTTCTATTTCTTCTTCAATCTCTTTCCTGATTGTTTCTCGTGCTTTTTGAATCATTTCATTTGAAATAGTTCGTTCTTCTTTTTTGTTTGAAATTATTTAATAGTTTCTTCTAACTCTTTAATTTTATTTTGAAGTGTGTTGATTTCTTCTTTGTTGCCTTCTTCTTCCTTTTTCTCTTCTTTATCTTGTGTTTTCCTTTTATTTTCTTTTTAATTTATTATTCTTGCAGCTTTACATCTGTCATTCATTTCTTTGATTCGATTTTTGTTTTTGATTCCTTCTTCGATTGTTTTGATATCTTCACTTGTCCAATCTTTTGTTTTATCTTTGATTTCTTCTTTGATTTTCTCTAGTGTTTTCTTCTTTCTTATTGAATATACTTCTTGGAGAATATTATACCATTTCTTTACCTTCGTACTTTTTAAGTATTTCTTCGTATTCTCCTTTTTCCCATTTTCTTGTTATTCTTTTAATTTTCTTTTG